GTTGTTAGCACCTTTCTCTTAACCACTAGTTTAGGATTAGATTCTTTCTTGTTTTCATCTTTTTTCACTACTATTATCTTTCTTGACAGTTTACTATCTAGACCAGTTCTTTGAGGTTCAGTAAGTTCTTCTTGACTCTCTTCRACMACTTCTTTACTTTCCTGCGCCTTTCTTTGCCTCTTTTCTTCCATAATTTCCTCAAATGTTTTGACTTTTATATTTGTTAAAGATGGAGYTGGTTTTGAATCTTTCTCKTCTRATGGTTTTTCTTCTTTTTCTGTTRRAGTTTCTTCTTTTTTGTCTTCTTGGACTTTGACTTGTCGTAACGTCTTTGAAGATGAAGACTCGTGYTCTGGGTCAATGATATCAAGAATGATGGTTTTAGGGCTTTTGACTTTCTTTTCACGGATAAACTCAACTTCTGGATCAGGATCTCTTGACTCTGAGACTTTTTGAGAAGAGGTTGACTCAGCTTTGCTTACAGACACCACACTTTTAAGAATGGGCTCAGGAGAGTCATCGCTACCTTCCTTCTTAGCCTTATCAGCCTCCATCTGTGCTTTTTTCTTAAGTGCAGTTCTTTCATGRAGGTTTTTTAGCGCTTTTTCTCTGAGTATCTCCTCTAAAGTTTTAATTTTTATGTCTGATTTATTCTCTTCTGTCTCAGATTTGGGTTTTTCATCAGAACTTTCAGATTTTTTCCTCTCTGAGCTACATGTACTAGATTCTTTGTTTTCACTTTCTTTTCTGGGTTTAGTTCTAGTTCTCTCTGAATCTGCGAAGAAACATAAAAACAAAGAATGACCATTTAACATTCGACTACTCATTAAGCATTTTAAGATAATAAATGAATCTCTGTTAATCTCCCATACTTGGGAAACTAAAAAAGWGTCCATTGGTAGAGCTGTTCGCCTATGAGAAAGTGTGAATACAGTGTTGATATGGAAGGAATATAAGCTAATAATGAGGGTTTTGGAAAGCTGTCKGTAATTAGAGCTGCCYGCTGTGAGAGCTTTTGTAAGTGGATATTTCACTTTAGTTGAAATCATTTGTTGCACTGTGTGACTATTCTTATAGAGTGATTTCTAT